AGCAACTTATTGTTAACCTTTATGTCCCAGAGTATGTTGTATTTCCATATCACAATGTTTCTGTCGTTTTGTCACTGGGAAGTTAACTTAGTATTTTGATACCTTTATTATCGCCCATGATGTCGCCCGTGACAGACTGGCAGCAAATGAAAGCTCTCCATGCGTGTCTTTTTTGCGACCGGTAAGTGGTAATTTCACCATATTCAACATAGCGGTATGAACGCAGCATAAGACCCTTATCTCACAACGAGTTTGGGTTGCTCAGGATCTGTCCCGTGCATGCTGTGACCGGATATCTCGCCCTTGAGGTACAGTTGTCATTCGCGGCTGCTGCAAGCGGGGTCGGTGAGCGACAGGGCCTGTTTTCCATTCTCGGACAGACAGCCAATTGTTGACCAGTGACAGTGCAAATGATGCTTTTTTTTTTTTCTTTCGTGTCATTAGCCACGCCATTTTGCTGATGCCGTAGCATTTTTTATTTCTTGCTTGGCTTTATGTCGGCTATTGAACACACTCAAAAGAACAAATCCAGCATCATTGTACACGTCAGAAAAAAGCAAATGTTCGTCATGACTGAAGTGCACGTTGACGGTTTCTATAATCCCACTCATGTCTCACTGGACAAAGCAATAAAAATTGATTCTTCAATTTGCAGGAAGTACAGTGCATGTCTCACCAGTGCGTTTTTAATGGAGCTAAGAATACAGTGGACTAATACTACACACCGGTGTATGCGCCTGACAGCATATATTTTCTGCCATTGATGGCATCATCTGGCATTCTCCACAGGAATACCTGCAAGCACAATGTAGATCTCTTGGTCAGTGAGCGTTGATTTCACAACATGCATAGCCTACTTGAGGGTAAAACATTACTGAAAGGAAATTATTTTCACTGAGAGGAACCGATCCACTGGTGAGCTAATTACGATGCAATAATATTGTACAGTACTAGCTAACGTTACAGGAACGTTACTAACGTTACAGTACCATCAGGCCGTTGTTGGGTGCATCCCTGCAAACGTTGAATTTTAGCGGAGATGCGCTATCTCGGTAATAATAAAAATCGCAAGGGATTTTACAAAATACCATTCCGTAACTGGCTGAACGGTGTTTCCAGACGGCAGAGTAGCTGCTTCGTCTGATTCTGAAGCTGCTTGCACACTGTACGGGAAACGAATTTTTCGCAGGACAGATTACGTTCAAAGTCAATGTGAAGACGCGAATACACGCATGTATTCAAGCCTCCGCATTGACTTTGAATGTAATCTGTCGTGCGAAAAATTTGTTTCGCGTCCAGTGTGCAAGCAGCTTGAGTCAGACGGCTCAAACATATAGGGCTGGACTGACCCTTGCGCCATTGCTGTGACTAACGCTCATGGAGCCAGTGAGATGTCACTCAAATCGAGGGAGTGGCCAGTCACACCGCGATGCGCCACGCCCACACTGTCTTGAGAAATGGACTGAATAGCAAAATGAGCCATTTTTGATCTAGGTTTTCTAATCGTTATGAATGTTAATTTTCACTCAGTTTTTTGTAGATGCTTTATGAGACACCCAACTTTGATATTATATGTGAATCCTCACTATGTCAAGACAAGTTTCCAGAGGCTTTAAGATTTTTTTTTAAACCGGGACTTTTACTTTTACTCTACTACATTTAAAAGATAAAAAAGTATACTTTCACTTCGTTACTTTGACACTGGCAACTTAGTTACTCGTTTCAAATTATAATATGAAATTCATTCATCATTTACGGATTATCTGGATTTGGCGTGTTCGAGAAGAACAACGGTGCTCGGCAGGGTATCTTTCTGCAGTTGTGTCTGCCAGCGGACATGGAGCTGCAAATTTATGCACGCAGTTACAATATTCAATCAATAGATGGCACACCAGGATCAGTTATTGAATATTCACAAGCAAGCCGGACAAGGTTTAGAATATGGACGAGTTCACTCCAATCCCTGTTTTTCAGGAGTTGCCTGAATAAAACTCCTCAGCTAAGCCTGATGTGCAAACTGCTCAATATACTTGCCCACAGTATCTATCCAGCAGTTCAAAAAAAAAAATGTATCTCTTGCTACAGAAATAATTGTCATCCTCTGCAGCAGGCTGATTTATTAGATAAAATTTAATTGCTGTACAGTTGTACAATGCACTTTTCACATGTTCCTTGTGAATGGAGGTTATGTAAAATTGCCAGATTTGCCCTGGTTGTGGGTATTGTCATAATTGTCTCAGGGGAGTATTATCCAAGTCTGTTTTAAGTACTGTAGGATAGGATGCAAGTATCTTAATTGTTTTGTTTAAAAACAATTGTCATGAATAAATATGACATGTTTTAAATGACGTAAGTTGAAGTATTTTTCTTATTTTGCACAAGGAATGATTACTGATGTTACATCATTTTCAGCTTTGTCTTATGTCTGCATTTGCCAGCGGGCCGCCATGATAAAGAGTATGCAGAATAATTCTGTATGTTCATTCCATTACAGAACCTAGATGATCTCTGCAATTAGGTGTGGGGGAAAAAATATCGATATCGGTATCAGCTATCGGCGAAATGAGTTGTAAAATATCGGCATATCGGATATCGGCCAAAAATCCAATATCGTGCATCCCTAGTTTCTAACATATGGAGAGATGCAGTGCTACGTGTCATAGATGTGTTGTTATTTTTGTCAAAATTGATTTTCGGAATGCGATAATTTCTATAATCACCAACAGAAAAAGCATGATTGGGAATGTCGGGGGTATTAGTAAGCTCTGCTTACTTTTTCACTTGTTTATTTTTATTTTAACCATCTTTCTACCCTTGATTTTGGGTTTCTGGCTTAACTTAAAACTGTGCCATTATCCAACCTGTTTTCCTGACCGTTTCTGCTGTATCTTACACCCTGCGCAAAGCAAAGCCAAGCACAACGCAAATGCTGGTTGTAGACTGATGCGGTTGTCATTTTTCCATTCAATGCCCACATTGTTTAAATAGTAAATGTACTTGCTGCCTTCTGAGCTCCGAGGATGTGTTGATCATGAAATGAGGTGTGGTCAGGCGCACTGTAGGCGCAGTGCTATCCTGAGGCAGCAGTGATTGCGCGATTGATCAACAAAAACCTGGCCATTAACTTTTCTTGTGAGTTATTTCATTTTTTGTCTTCATTACCCAATCCAGATCCATAGATCAGTGATCAGTTTTGTACAGTTAAAGTTAAACATGAAGAGAACAAGAAAAGAACTAGTAACTTAGGACACAAGATGCCCACATGCAAACCTCGTTCCACAAATTTTCATGGTCCTAGGAATGGATCCATATTGTCATTTTGGCATCTCAGAATGGCTTTTAATGCTTGCCAAAACTTGGATTTTCATGATGTGAGAGCCCTTGAAAATTGATCTAACATCAAATGATGTATTTTTAGCTGGAAGTATGGAAACATTCATTTGTATATACTTTTGGAATTTCCTGGGTCCCCAAAACCACCTATCATGTACTTTTTCTCCATTTCCAAGGGCCAGTCATGAAATGTATGACATCTGCTTGTGCCTTTCAAACATTTGGATCTGTTCTACGCATTGTTTCAGTGCCTCTACCAAATTTCATGGTACTTGGGGTAATACATCTGAAGAAACTGAACCCTAAAAATGGCTTCCTACATTTGTTCAGAGGGAAAAAATGACACCATTATCAGAGAGAAAAAACTCTGCAACTCTCAAAATTCATCCAAAATATTTACAGAACAGAAATTTTTGGATGTCGAATAGTATACATAAGGTTTGAACAAAATCTTTCTGATATGAAACGGAATGACCTGGGTGGTAGGCGAAGTGTGCTCAAACCTGATGTATAATGTTTCACTCAGTGCTTGGATTGCAGGGTTTACACAGTGCAGGCCGTTGTGCAACAGTACCTTTGCTGGTGTGCCCCATCTGGGCATAATTTCCTTCACTGAAGCCTTTGCTTCCGATGCATGGGGTGCTGCATGGCAGGGGAAAGCTTCGACCCATATAGAATACATATCAATAAATAGAAGACAATCCTTCTAACCATTGCGGGGTGTGAGTTCAATGAAATCCTTCATTAAATGGGAAATGGGCCAGACAGGAGAGGAGGGGCCGCTGGGCTCATACCTATTCCTCCAGCTACATTATTCAACAATCAAATGACTCCTTTCACTAAAATTTGATGCAGTCTTGTCAAAACCTTGAAAACCAATTTGACACCTCTTGGCTATTAATTTCTGTCTTGGAAACGTGTCACGTCGTGAATTACTTCTGCCATAAATGGGAAACAGGCTAATTGTAATATTGGTTTTCCTTGGGGGGCCTTTCTTGAGTCCATCTGTGCTCTGTGAGCCACCCTTCTGTTTCCACACACTCTTTTCTGGTGAGCTGGACGACTTCTGCAGTCAAGAAAAAACCTTTACATTGAGCGCATCACAATGCTGCAATCAAGAATGCACACATGCTTCAGGAACAAGTTGATTCGCCATATTCGATTATCTGCCATTTTTAATTTTTGTAAAACCATAAGAATTATTTTGAAATTATTCAATTATTATCCTCTAAGACGGTGCAACCAATTCACACAGAATTTGGTACACAGCTTCTTCATGCCAAGGTCTTAAATCCCAAGGTAAAGACTGTTGCTGCATTCATACATGTGACCTCAGTAAACAAATGAATTTTGTGGGCATGTCCTCTATTGATGTGTATTGGAGTATGACTCCTGAACTCATTGTCCGCTCATAGCAAAACATAAGAATTTGCATCTGTAAGACAAGAAACTGAAGCCTATAAAATTTGGTCATAATCGGCTGGTTGGTGGCACTGTTGGAAGCAAAAAAATGTAAAATTGCCTTACCATTTTTTTCTCAACCATTGGACCCAAATGGGTTTGATTTTTAGGGATCCAAGGACAAAGTGCTGGAACTCCATTGTATCTTTTCTGATTTCTATTATTATTATTATTATTATTATTATTATTGTTATTACACAAAGAAAGGCCCCAGGCTAGATTCGAATCCACAACATTTTTGCTGTGAGGCAGCAGTGCTGACCACTGTGCCACTGGGGCCTTTCTTTCTGTGTGGAGTTTGCGTGGGCGTGTTCGCGTGGGTTTCTTCCGGGTACTCCGGTTTCCTCCCACAGTCCAAAGACATGCATGTCAGGCTAATTGGAAAGGCTGAATTGCCCATAGGTATGAGTGTGAGAGTGGATGGCATGTGAATGGTGTGTGTGCCGTGCAATGGATTGGTAAGCTGTCCAGGGTGGGACCCAGCCTTTCGCCCAGAGTCAGCTGGGATAGGCTCCAGCTCTCCCGCAACCCTTATGAGGAAGAAGCGGTATAGAGAATGGATGGATGGATGGATGGATTATTATTATTACAACCCCATTTCCAAAAAAGTTGGGATGCTGTGTAAATTGTAAACAAAAACAGAATGCAATGATTTCCAAATCTCATAAACCCACATTTTATTCATAATAGAACATAAGCAACATATCAGATGTTGAAAGTGAGACATTTTACCATTTCATGAAAAATATTGGCTCATTTTGAATTTGATGGCAGCAACCCATCTCAAAAAAGTTGAGTCACGCAAGGGTTTACATACTTTTCTAAAGGCCCAATTAGTTTTTGTCAATTACCAAGGAAATTTGATTCTGTCTGGAATTGGATAAAAATTGTCAATCAACACAGTCATATAGGTGCAACCCCACGCTGCAACAATCAATATATTATATATCAATCACTTTCCTGGTTTGCTCTTGTCACATAATACCCTTCATAATAAACTGTGCAAAGGTGACAAATATTATACAAATATCTGGAGAAGTATTGCTGCTGAGCTTGAATGGGATTGTGAGTAGCCCAAGTTAAAATGCACTTTCTTGTCCAGGGAATGTATAAACCATTCATTTTTAGTAAGAGGTGTAGGCCTACCCTGTATTTTCTTCTCTTTTTTTGTCAAAATATATATTGTAAGCATTGACAACAATGAAACGATGGTTGTGTGACGGTGCAAATGTTTAGTTTTCGGTGGAATCCATGGAGCCCAATAATTTGTGTCAGTCTTTGTGTTAAAGGTCTAAAACCAAACATTCATCCATAAATTGGCCATTCCGAGTGAGAGAGCAATGCGCAGCTCCAAAAAAAATTGAAACAAGTGGTGCCAGGCACAACTAACCCCGCCCCTCGCACATACTTTCACCTACTTGTACGAAATTCAATATGGATCTATTCTGGGTCAGTGGCAATCCCTATACCAAATTTGGGGTGACTCTGGCCATTAGTTTTGCCGCTAGAGTGTTAACAAACAAACAAACAAAACACAAACACAGAAACAAACTGAACCGAGAACAATACCCCTTCCCTCAACATTCGGGTGGGGCGGGGTAAAAATTAATCTGTGGCCAGTGTTGTTTTATTTGTGGTTGGCTGTGTATGGAAAACCCTACTGTGGAAGACTAGTACTTGTTGATTTTTTTTAATTCTATCATTGACTTTGTGTTGAATTATTGGTTTATTGTGACATTTCTAGCTTGAAATGCTTTGGGCATTGGAAGTGTATTGATGTGATATTTGTGCATTATTACTGTGTTGGTGACATGTTAATACTGCATAAGTGATGTCTGTGTTTCATTGCATTGCCATTGTTTTAATGTGGTGTTATGCAGGCCAAAATGGGGGCTCGGGGGAAGAAGCCGCAGGGCCCCGTTCACATCACTGCAGGAAGTGAGCCTGTTCCTATTGGAGAGGAGGACGATGAGCTTGACCAGGATACGTTCAGTGTTGTGAGTTACATGCCTTACTGATCAAGTACTGCTGGCTAAGCATCTGTGTCTGTGTGCATGTTGAGAACTTCGTTCTGTTCTCTTTTTTGGGCTTGTATGCATGAGTGTGTGTTTTCAGTGACAAAGCTGTGTGCTCTCCTCTGTGTTAGAGGCGGCATGTGAAATAACGTTTCAGTGTGTGTTCTGCCCAGTGTAAGGAGAGGATGAGGCCCGTAAAAAAGGCTCTGAAGCAGTTGGATAAGCCCGACGAGGGTCTGTCAGTGCAGGATCAGCTGCAGCACACGCGCACCTGCCTGCTGAAGATCGGAGATCGCATCACAGAATGCCTCAAGGCTTACAGTGACCCTGAGCATGTCAAGACCTGGCGCAGGTACACACCATACATGAGATCCTAGCAACATGCATCTTGTGGTATTGCTTGCTAACAACATAAGCAAGCAAAATTAGTAACAATCACCAAACTACGTGATGCCTCTTGACAAAATGTATAACATGTTATCATAGTAACTTAGGATTTTCCAGGATAGGGTCTTAACATGTTACCCCGTAGAATGAAATAAGATCGACAACAAAAGCGGCCCTTTTATAGGAATAATAATTAACAGCTTTCCCAAACATTGAACGCCAAAGTATGGTAAAAATGAAAAGATGACAAACAACTTGAAAGCATTCAGAGAGTGCATGCCTCCACCGACTAAGTCACTAAAACTGAACAAAGAGGTTACAGATTCCCTGATTATGAGTCCATCCCAAAATTCAATCCTTGGTCCATGGCCCACACTTTCATGGGATATCATTGAAATTGATTGAAAAATTTGAGAGCTTTGGTCTGGACAAACAAATGGACAAACAGACAAATAAACTGACATGGGCAAATATATAACCTTCACCCAACTTTATTGATAGACGTAGTAATGCTCAGTGAAGTTTTCCTGAGCCCATTCAGTGATTTACGCGACTGAATCTTGTCTGTTTTTAATAGAGTCCCGCCCGAGGACCTGAAGATCATAGCCATGCAGTACTGGATTTTGACTTTGTCCCTTGCATACAGAGATTTCATGATGTTTCTGTACCGTAGATGATAAAATCCCCAAATTCTTAGCATTCTTTATATTGAGAAACATTAGTCATAAAATGTTATTCAGTCTTTCTGAGTGAGAGTGGTGAAGCCCTCACCATCTTTACTCCTGAAAGACCCAGCCTGTCTCAGATTCTCTTGAATCATGTTACTAACCTAATTAGCTGTTCAATGATCCACCAGGTGGAAGAGGCTACAATACATAGAATTTTTGTGAGGGTATAGATAGAAGGTATAGACAATTATGCACTGCAATACAAGCTCAGTAATTTCGAGGAAGGTGAAAACATTCATACGCTGTATTTTTACAAGCGTTTGATCAATCAAGGCAGCAAAACATTTACATCTTGAAGTATAATGAGATTTCTAACAACCATGAAAACAAAGTGAAATCAGAACAGTACCATGCCATTGCACAAGAGCTCATAACCACAGCACAGATGAAACCATTACAAACAGTCCCCGAATGAAGGCGTTGCGGCAGGTTCTTTAAAAGCAGCGTCCCCAGATGCTTTGCTTGGGATTAGTTAATTGATGATCGGTACGCAGCTACTCCAATGTTTTCTGGTGGCTGCACAGAAGGGTATCAGCCCATGGAATACAACTCTCAAAAGTGTATGGGGAAAAGTCATTATACACACAAGGAAGCGAAGGTTGGTACTGCGGCTGTAATAGTTATAATAGATACCGTATTGGCACTGGGGGAAAGAGAACCCTCTCTGTCGATCTGAAGTCCCCATTGGCCGCACCCTTGTGGTAGTCTTGCAGTTGTTGGCTGTCTTATCTGGTGTGGCATGTGAATGATTGGCTGTCTCCTTGGCAGAAACCTGTGGATTTTCGTGTCGAAGTTTACCGAATTTGGGGCAAGGAAGCTCCACAAATTGTACAAGATGGCTCAGAAGAAGCGATCACAGGAGGAGGAGGTGAGGGGCTAGCCCTTGTGGCAAATTTTTTCTACTCCATTCCATTAGAGGGCATGACCTGCCTCTTTTCATGCTGTATTATTCATTGTTTGCAAACAGAGCCACTTGCAAGTGGCAGTTGGCAATAAAGATTCATATCAACTTTGCTGAGTAGTCATCTTTCTTTAAATTCTGACGTAACTGGTTAATGTTCTATCAAAAGCTTATGTAACTTGAACAAAATGTTACTTCAGATCCAGAGGAATTGGGACAATGTTTAAAATGCAAATTAGAGCAGTAAGCAGGCCTTGCCTTTCGACATTTGAAGGAGCTCAATTGGTCACTCTGCTAGGCCCAATCCCAAACCGGTCCCTATCCCCTCGCCCTATCCACTCCCCCTCCGTTTGCGCGTTCCCGCGGCGGGTCCACCACATTGAGTGTCATCCCAAACCAATCCCCATGGAGTGTAAGTGGCTGATTTAACCCTCCGCAGCAAGTTTACACCGATGCAAGCTTTCAAACCACCCTCCTTTCAAGTGCAGCACTTATTTTGTCTCCGGGATGGAAGAAACGCTGCATATTTACATATGTCAGTTCCATGCGGCTATTTCCGAAAGATAAGTAAAACATTACCTAATCACAAACGGACATTTGATTGACTATTTCATGCGCACATCACGGAACTAAAGGTTACATTGTATTTTGAAATGTATGTGCAGATGTGCACACAAGAAAACACTGAGCGAGTAGTTTAATTTATTGAATCAATGATTGCTCTTTTTCACAATGTGCCATTTCATGCAAAAACGCTTTCATTTGATTGCCATGGAGCAGGACTCACAGAGTCACTCCCATGGTTACTCCCAACTGAAGTGAAATGAACTTAACTAAAAACTTGCCTATACTTCTGGAGTAGCAATTGTGAAAAAATCGGAGATAAAAAATAAGATAAACTCTGAACACTTGCAGTGGTCACCTGCTTTGCCTGATGCACAGGTTACAATACAGTCCCACTGTGTAGCCCTACGCATATTTCGTGCTCATGTTAGAAAAGTGAGGGGCGCGATCGATTGCGCCCCTTATGTGGAATTTACGGGCATTATGGGGCACGAGCACAATCAAGCCCATCAAAAGGCAAGGCCTGCAGGAAGCAGTACCTGGCAAATTCCTATTCACCAGTAGTCAATTAAAAAAGTGCACAGTCAAAATGAATAATGTTCAATGAAGTAGGAACAAGAGCATGGTTGGCACTGTGTAACCTCACCTTTCCTTTAAATAATATTCAGTAGCCGTTTTGGAACT